GTTCTTCTGAAGCACCCGAGACCCTCCTGCCCCAGAAAACAGGTGTCTGACTGTGAATCCCCACAAGCTGAGCGAGATGAATAGCGGGTCTTGTTTGGGTTGTGTAGTCAGCTGGATTGCGTCTGATAATGGCGGGTGAAGATTTCTGGGCCGCAGGGGTTAATGGCACGAAACAGAACCCAATTGCTAATTACATGTTCCGAACTATTTATCAGATTCTCCATCTGCACAGCGCCACGACTCTCATTGTGCACGCTAAATTACTCCTCGGATTATCTTTGTAAAGCAAGTTTTCATAATTAGGGCCCTGCGTGGATGTTTTCTCTCTGCGAGCGCCAACCGACACTGAGAGAAAATTTGCTGACTGGTTAATTCAGGCCTGACATCTTAAACCAGCAACTCGAAAGCATCTGCTCCTAGTCAAAACATCCTAAAAGAAAGAGTACCAGATTCCTGCTAAATACCCCAAATAGATCCCTATCATAAGATCACAGATCTAATATGATATTGTAGCAATATTATATTGGACCAAATCAAAAGGGACAGTTTAAGGGTTAGTTTAACCAAAAATGAAAATTGTTAATAAAAAATCCATAAACTACCATGAAAGTAGTCCATAAGACTCCGTAAGTGATATATAACCTGAATTTTCATTTCTGGATCAAATATTTCTTTAAATGACAGAAGTTTTAAAATCCCCCAAAAATGTTTAACCCTATGAAGCCTACTGAGGCAAATTTCTAAGGCCTCTAAATGACCACAACATTGCTGTCCACAATCTACTACAAGCCTTCTGTCGTCTGATTGAGAGTTTAGACTTTATCAAGTTAAAGGTATTTTGGTATAATTGTAAAAATGTCCTCCTTTAGCTCGTGCTTCACATATCATTTTGCTGTCAGATCTTTACTGATTCTTATAATGTAACCGTAAGAATCATTTTTATATTGTTAGTAATATTTCAAGATGAACACTTACTGGACTGAAGCAGGTTTACTTGATTATCCATCTATAATTTGTCAGAAAAATCATGCAAGTATCAAATATGATCTTCAGGCTTTTGAGGAACTTTTATTTGTTCATCTTTGTATCATCATTGAGAGGAAAATGAGAAACAAGAGACCAAAAAATGCAGATGAGCTGAAGGCCACTGTCAAAGAAACCTGGGCTTCCATACCACCTCAGCAGTGCCACAAACTGATCACCTCCATGCCACGCCGAATTGAGGCAGTAATTAAAGCAAAAGGAGCCCCTACCAAGTATTGCGTACATGTACAGTAAATGAACATACTTTCCAGAAGGCCAACAATTCACAAAAAATGTTTTGTTATTGGTCTTATGAAGTATTCTAATTTGTTGAGTTTGGTGGGTTTTTGTTAAATGTGAGCCAAAATCATCACAATTAAAAGAACCAAAGACTTAAACTAAGTTTCACAATTTGAGTTGAATTACTGAAATAAATGAACTTTTCCATGACATTCTAATTTATCGAGATTCACCTTTATGTAAGTAGTCTGTTATATTGTTATAAACATCTCACTGAATTGCACTTTTTGGCCATATAAATATCAACATCTGCACCAAATTGCATATTTTTGAATAAAACTGAAGCATTTTTCTTTCATATTCTCACTATATGAGCCACAAAAGCCTGAAAGATCAAATATAATACTCAACAAAAAACACATATGCTTTGTTTAAAGCTTCAATATACTGTTCTTTTAAAAAAAAAAAAAAGTACATTTTTCATTATTATTCGACTATTATTTCTTATGTCAGGCTTTAAACGGTTAATTTCCCTATGGCATCCTAAAGGTGCCTTATTAGTCCAATCGGCAGTGATTTACTCTTTGTTTGACTATAGGGCCTCTTTTTCATGTGCTTGGCAAAAGTTTGAAACCATTTTCCCATCTTAAGGTGAGTGCTGTGTGGCGTAACACTTCTCAAATGGAGAAAAAGGCTGGAACACCTCTCCGATATCAGGCCCAGAGGTGCAGCCAACTCTATTAAGACACACATGCCGTCGGACGCAAGCCTCCTCGCAGTGAATTTTATTAAAATTACCTTCATTATAAGACACTCTTCATTATAAAACCAAAAAGTGCTGCTGGTCTCCCAGGGCCTTTGGATTAATAAGGACAGCGATGTATTTTAAGCCGTAAACTCGACTTCTTACTGTCCTTAATCTCCTTTCCACTTCACAGGCCAAATTAACACCTCTCCCCGGCTCTGACGGGACCTCATTAGCTCACTTCCACTCCGAAAGAGAAAAGAACAGGAAAGAAGAAGAGAAGACGACGATGAAGAAGGAGGAGGAGGAGGAGGAGGAGGAGGGAGACGACCAATGACAGCCACCAGCTCGGGGATTAACCCTTTCACGCGACCAACGCTTCGGGAATCTAGGTCGACGCGCGTTTCTAATCAGCCGCCTGGTTAACGATAATTAGCAGGCGCGGCAGGAGGGGAGGGGAGGGAGGGACACGCAGAAATGAAACAGAGAAAGAAAAGAGAAACCTGTCATGTCGCAAACACTTCAAAGCAGACGACTTCTCTTTTAAAAGTGGCACAATAAGGGTCCAAGAACCACCGGGGACCTCGAGAAAGCGCGGCGCTGAAGAAGGGAGGAGAACAAGGGCCGAAGAGACCTAAAACACACACACACACACACACGCTTCAGAGGGACCCAGAACACGCAAACACACTCCACCTACATAAAGCTGCAAGCTTGCGTAGTTTACTCTCACTGTTAAACTTCTCCAGCAGTAAGTGGTCCCTGTGAAGTTTACCCATCATGCATCTTTCAGTCAGGGCTGCTCTAGATCTACAAATTATAAAATGCATAGGTTCCAGTCGTTCAAAAACCTAGTATTGTAACAATTATGACACCTGTTGTTCACCAGCAACATCACTGCACAGCAGCCAAAAAAACCAGCAACAATTAACCTCCATGTCAGGACTTAAATGCCAAAATAAAATAAAATAAAATAAAATAAAATAAAATAAAATAAAATAAAATAAAATAAAATAAAATAAAATAAAATAAAATAAAAAATAAAAAATATAAAATAAAATAAAATAAAAAATTTTTAAAAGGTTATAAAAATGTGTCTATAACATTTTTATTATATATTAACCATTTAAAAAAAAGCAATAAGGGACTCAAGGCACTCATGCTATATTGTGAGTATATTCGTCATCATGTTGTAAAAGTTCCCACACCATATAAAGAATGAATAACTATGACTTTTCCAGTTGTTCATGATCACAGGATATGATTTTTTTTAAAGATTGCATTCATAAAAATTGCTCAAAATATTTAAAAGCGGTTCACAGCTAGAAAAAAATAATATAATATAACACGATTAAATTAAAAAATAATAATTTATATGAGTTTCAATGAGTTTTCCAGTTGTGATTAAAGTATAAGATTTAAAAAAAATCATTTTGCATAAGTGCATTATGCTTATGAAATATTTTGAAGTAGTGAAAAACAAAAAATAAAATACAATTGAAAAAATAAATAAAAGCTAACTTGTTTTTTACTATAAATTTTATATTAACTTTTTTTGAGATTTTAAAAATTCTTTGATATTTCTAGGATTTCCATTAACCGTGGGAATCCTGATTGTACTAACTAATGCCCTTATGCTATGACTAAATTCACCGTATAGCACAGCAACAAGTCTTATTGTTTAAATCAATGTAAAAGCCTGTTTGCAACTCACTTTACTTTCATAATCGGACACATTTCCAAATAAAAACACGATGTAAAAAAAAAAAAGTGAATAAAGGCCAAGACTTTAATCACTGTGAATAGATCATGAAAACATGCATAGCAGGTTTAATGGGACAGACATTTGAAGTTTCCTCTATCGCTCACTTAAGCACTGAGGTTTGTTACCACCACAGCGCACGTTAAGTATGTTCAACAGGACCTCACACTCACAACGAGCTCTACGCTCAGAAAACCTTGATGAAATCCAATCACAAGTGGCCACTGGAGACAGATCTGAGCATGTCAATAACAGACATGAGCGGCGATATGTCACGACTGACCACTTGGGAAAGGACGATAAAGGGATAGTTCATAATTTTCTCACTCTCAAGTTGTTTCAAGCCTGCATGAGTTTCTTTCTTCTGTTGAGCACAAAAGAAAATATTTTGAAGAATGTGGCTAACCAAAAAGCTTCTGGTCCCCATTGACTTCCATAGTATTTTTTCTCCAAACTATTGAAGTCAATGGCTACCGTTAACTTTTTGATTACCAACATTCTTCAAAATATCTTCTTTTATGTTCAACAGAAGAAAGAAACTCATACAAGTTTGGAACAACTTGAGGGTGAGTAAATTATGGTTAATTTTTGGGATAACTTTCCCTTTAATATCAGGCCTAAAACACTTTTTCATGAAAATGTCATTGCATTCCCGCACAACAGAACATCATGTGGCCAGCTGGACTCTGTGACAGCAGCGAATCCCTCCTGATGAGACAGGAAACCTGCGCAATCATTCAGTATGCCGGAGCTTTCTGGACCACAGACGAGGATTGCAAATATGATTTATGATCTGCTGTTTAATGGCTCAAACACTGGCTTTGAGAGGAGATCAGATGACTTTCTCGACAGGAGCATGTCAGGGTAGGAACAGGGAGTGCACCATTACAACAGCATGACAGAGAGAGTGAGAGAGGCCTCCAGTACTTAATGGAGGAGAGATGCTACTTAAGTCTGACGGGAAAATGATACCAGTCAATACAGCGAAGGGCGGTGGGGGGGCACAGATACGGATGACGTGATGCTGAGAGAGTTTTGATCCCTGGGAAAATCAGCAAACGGCTACATAAAACATAGAAACAATGACGGATGCCTAAATGCAATCAACTGATTTGGATGTTATTTCATGTATTAATATACAAATATCTCCAGCATGAACAGACATGAGAGCAGCACTGTTTTTGAGGTGGATATGATGTTGTCTGCATTAAACGGGGAGTGCTGACTGACCTGAGCTTGGAAACTCTTGAGGACGGGCGAAACCATCTCCAACACCTCCTAAACAGAGAACAAAACTGATGAATCCCACATAACCTGGTCAGAAACATGTTTGGGTGATATTGCACCAAAAAAAAAGGAAGAAAAAAAAGATTTTTTTATTTAGCTTGAAGACTATTTTGGGATCGGTAAGAATTTATTTTTATTTGTTTGCATTGTTGTGCATTATTTTCAAATGACAATTTTGGGGGGGAAAAGTTTAATTGGCATAATAATAATAATAATAATAATAGTAATAAAAGTCACAATGCAAAAGATTCTAATCATCATAAAATAGGTTATATTTTATTTATGCAAAATATATTTAAATATAATTTTTGCTCTTGATTTTGGGGTGAAAAATGACCTTTTACTTTTTTTTTTTTTGGAGTCAAATGGCATTTCACAGTTAAGAAAATGCAATTCCCTATACTTCTATTCCCAACATTTGGTGCATCTAATAAATTCTAAGAAAAACATTTTATGCTGAAAAGGTTAATGAAAAATCTCTTAGACATTTAAAAAAAAAACAAGTATTACTTGAAAAAAAACAACATTAGCTGAAACAAAATACAAAAACTAAACTGACTTGGTTAAACTAAAATAAAAAAAAAATAAAAAACTATAAACATTTTAAAAAACAAAATAATAAAAATGAGAAAAATGAGAAAAACTAAAGAATCAAAAAAAAAAAAAAATATATATATATATATATATATATATATATGATAAAATATAAAGTAATATATAAAAATAAAATATAATTAAAAATATAAAAAAAAACATTGGTGTACAGCTTCAGTTTCACCATGACATGTAAACGTTAAAAAATGTTTAACCTTGAACAATATTCATGTTAACAATGAGACTAGTATGACAGAGACACTCACTGACTTCGTCACTACAAACTTGTATGCAGTATTAAGAGAAAACTCACATTGAATTACATTGGTAACAAATAACCAGAAGTTCATCTACCTAAAACAGTAGTCCTACTACTAAAAGGCATGATAATTCAGCTCAAATAACATTAAACAACTAATCTATCAAATGTATGAGTTCTGCTTTTAAACCAGTGTTCCCCCATTGACGTCCATTGTATATGCATTAGTATTGTAAATCAAAATAAAAAAGAAGATTGTCTGTGGTAATCAGTACGTCTCATACAGTATGTTGTTAAAAAAGGTTGTAATGAACCGAGAACCTTTGGCTGAAGACAATAGCAACTTCTCCATTAACACAAATAACTCATCTGATTCTCCTGTCAATCCATTACTGACACTTTGTTTATTATCAATTACGCTCCAATCTTTAACGACACGGCTAGCATGAGCCCCATTCGCTCCAGACGTTTGCTAATCTTGTAAATTCTGATTGTCACCGATGACATTTGTGTCAAGTGGAGAGCAAACGAGGAGTTCGGCTTCTGAGTCGAGAGGTCTGACGCCGGATCGTGTCGAAGCTTCAAACGCAGCCTCGGAAAAAGGAAGGCCGCTAACGAGGAAAAATGTAAAATGTCAAAGCGCGTATAATGAGAGATGCGTGACAAGCATTCCTCTCGCCGTCACCTTTACCTGAAGAGGAATCAGAGGCACAGCTCCGGATTAGAGTGACGGGAATTTAAACGGAGAGGGACTTGAACTTAAAGACGTTCAGCGGAGGATTTTCCTCCATGGGAACGAGCGGCTCATTTTCTGAGCGGTTTTGCTGAAGGTTCTGGAAGATTAAATGTTGATGTCTGCCTGTTCTGGGCTGGATGTGACAAGTAACGTCAATTAACAGCAGATACTCTGTGTTACACTATTAGTGCTGATACTGGAGGGGCGCATGGGTTTGTATGTCTTCAGTGAGATAGGAACACAGAGTGACAGTCTGACAGATGCAGAACTATCTGAGCTTTATGAAACTAGAGAAACTAGATACAAGCTTGGGAATATTAGCTAGCAATGGCTCATACTGGAAGAGGAGAAGTTGAGGGGTGGGAACGAAAATGAGAGGGACCAAAAAAGGGAGGGGCAAAGAAGACAGGGGAGGAGACAGAAGAAGAGGAATGTCAAGAGGGGAGGAGCAGAAAGTGGAAGGGGCGGAGACGCAAAGCCCCTTCTGGTAGATGCCGTAGCTATACCGTTTCACGGTATCTGGTTTCCGAAAACATTTATTGTTGGCCTTTCAAAAAATATTTGTAAAAAAAATTTTTAAGGAAAAAAAAAATGTTTACAAGCAAAAGTTTGGGGTTTTTATGTTCCTGAAAGACTTTTATGCTCACCAAGGCTGCATTTATTTGATCAAAAATACAGTAAAATCAGCAATAATGTGAAATGTTATTGCAATTTTAAAAATCTGGTTTCTATTTAAAGATATTGTAAAATGTAATTTATTTCTGTGATGCGCAGCTGAATTTTCAGCATCATTACTCCAGTCTTCAGTGTCACGTGATTCTTCAGAAATCATTCTAATATGCTGATTTGCTGCTCAAGAAACATTTCTGATTATTATCAATGTTAAAAACAGTTGTGCTGCTTCATATTTTTGTGGAAATCGTGATACATTATTTTTCTGGACTGCTTAATGAACAGAGAGTTAAAAAGAACAGCATTATTTGAAATGGAAATCTTTTGTAACATTATAAATGTATTTACTGTAATTTTTGAGCAATTTAATGTGTTCTTGCTGAATCCAATTTTAATTTCTTAAAAAAAACTTTCTGACCTTAAACTTTTGAATGGTAGTGTATATCATAAATAATGCTTTATTATATCATAGTAAACATATCTTGAAAGATTGAATGGATTATTTTTGTAAATTATGTTATATAGTAATGAATAAATGCATGTAAATGACAATATGTAAATAATTTAAATATGTAAACAAATGTATTTACACAACATACAAAAGTGTCAAAATCAGCTGATCGGTTTTGTCATGATGTCATTTTCCAGCTGTTCCAGAATAATTAGTCACATGGCATTTACGGATCAGTTGATTGGCTCAAAAAGTTCTGAAATATGAGAAGGGGAGGAAGTTTTCAAGACAAGAGAAGAAAGACAGAAAATGAGTGAAGGAGCAAACAAACAGAAGCTCATATGAGGGTCAAAACCAAAATTGATGCTAAAGACTTGAACCTTACTCAGGTAAGGTCAAGAAAACCTTAAAAGGGTCTATCAGCATGAAACTGACTAGATGAACATCTCACACACACTAAACTATTTCTTGCTCTCCCACTCACCTCTGGGACATTTTTCTTGAATTCCCGGCTCAGTTCCACCAGGTGCTTATGGGAGTCCTCGCTCTCTTCCTGTCGGCCTGCTAGTTGTGCCGCCACTGAATTTAGCTCCCTCTACAGAGACAAAGAGAACGAGAGAGAGAGACACTTTAGATAGGCCTGCCAACACTCATATACACAGCTTAGTACACACATAAATAAATATATGCTGCTGAATATTAACCGTGTGATCCGTCATGATCTGATAGAAGGCGACTGCTTACTGTAAGCTCAGCCCCATTAATAATTAAACCAAAATAAATCCAATGCCTACAGTAGCAGAAGGCCTTTTAGATAATCAGAATCCAAAATAATCAATACCTCTGCAACAGTCATGGGAGAGAGAGAGAGAGAGAGAGAGAGAGAGAGGGCGGAGGGAGAAAATGGCACATGCACAGGAACTCTAAATATTCACCAATATCCATCTTATTCAGCTGACCTGGTGAGCAGAAAGACTGAAATATGGTCGAGGACGACTGTAGAGAGGTCGGTATTAACAAAATCAATATCAGAAAATACTGCTGTGCTTTTTTGTACATGTACAATCACATTAACACAGTTTCACAGACATTGTGGCATAATATTAATACCATTTTTTAAGACTGTTTCTTGGCAAACTATGTACCTGGTACATAAACATATTTTTAACAAAAAAAATGATAGATAGATAGATAGGTGATAGACGGACAGACAGACAGATAGAACGAAAGAACGATAGAACGATAGATAGAATGATAGAAAGAACAGAAAGATGGACAGACGGATAGATAGATAGATAGATAGATAGATAGATAGATAGATAGATAGATAGATAGATAGATAGATAGATAGATAGATAGATAGATAGATAGATAGATAGATAGATAGATAGATAGAA